GTGCATTTTAACCCAAAATGAGTCAAGAGAAGAGATAGAGAGAGAGAGACGAAGCTTCCTAGAGGTGATATCAGTCCTGAATTTTAAGAAATTACTATTTTATAGCTCAAGAACTTATTCACTATAAATATAGTGTGCTACAAGTACTTTTATTGTATTAGTTAAATCCATGATAGTATCTACATGCTAGAATCCAAGAGTATCTAATCTCTGCTCCATTATTTGCCTGTAAGCATATGCCACAACTGGATCAATCATTAAGAAAACAACTTCTTGAAATCTGTCCAGTTGGGTGAACCTAATCCTCAATCTGGTTCAGACCATAATAGGAATAATGTTAGCTGGCCATATCCTTCTACTTTTTCCTCTCTTTCACAGTCATGTTTGTAAACCATTGACTCTTCATTTCAGACACCTAATGGTGAAGTTTAAAATACCAATATCCTCTTGTAAGAATAACAAATATCTGCAACTTAATAAACTAGGAATGTTGCTAATATAAAAATCTCTGGACAGAAAAAATAAAATTCTAATGTCATCTTTTTGTGTGTATTCTCTTTCAAGTCCTGACCCCTTAGATAGAATAACTCATTAGGACGTTTGTTTATACTCTTAAAGCACCTTGTACATACTTCATTTTATCTAATAAAAGATAGTATGCAAATTAACCATCACTCTTGTCACAAATATGGCATTGTCCACAGCCACAATGCCACATGACTTTTTCTGACGAAGCAACTTGGTGAGTCTAGGGAAGAAACTCTGGAACCACTGGATTAATTCATCCAGGGTTAATATGGAATCGCCCATAGCCACAAGATGGTGGCGCCCAGCCCCCTCAGACCCCCAAGTCCCCCAGTCCTTGGGGGCGGCCACTGAGAGTGAGCAGTGTGAGCAGCCTGGCGAAATGCTTGCTTTGTTGAAGCAAACGTCCTGCCTTAGCCATGGAGAGCCTCTGGACAGTGGGCATGGAGTAGCCAGGCACTACAGAGTGTAGAGAATGTTGGGGATGGGCCTAAGCCATCAGGACTCCTGGATTGGAGAGGGCTCCCCTGAGGGCTTCCAGAGTGGAGAGGGTGCAGGTCGGGCTGAGGGACTCACCCCCCCCGTGCATAAATTTTGTGTACAGGGCCTCTAGTATTACATATTAGCTCTAGGTCTGTCTTGCCTGCTAGACTATGAGTGTTTGAACATTAGCACTATATCTTTTCAACTTTTCATCTTCACTGTATAGCAGCACCCCTGGTTCATATTACACTAAATGTTTATTCAATGAATAAACATAAAGGAAATATATCTTTCTTGAAATATATTTTAGCTGCTTCCAGAAGGGATTTGTAGGATCTCCTTATTTACTATCTGTTTTTAGCTCTTTCATGTCTTTCATTTATATGCATAGCTCACTGTTTCTATTAGTGCTATTGTTTAAATGGATATTTAGAAAATTATATCTTCTAGCACCTCTCAAGACTGACAAAGGCTTTCTGCCTACTATTTAAGAAACAGTGGCCCTGAAATCTAACTAGACATGACAGCCAACCAGGTTGTTCCGAGTTTTCTAAGAAAGAAACCTCCACGTCAATATACAATATTGAAATTATAAGCAATATTCTCAGGTGAAAATTGGATATAATACATTAATTTGTCAAATGCTTATTGAGTTTCTTTCCCCTAAAATTTTGTACAGTTCCTTGTTTAATGAAACAAATAAAATGAATAAGCCTTCTATACCAGCGGTCGCCAGCCAACCGGTGATCCACAGACCTCTGGTGGTCCATGAGGTCCGAAAGGTCGATGACTGCTGTTCTATACAATAATTCAATGAACATGTACACTGTAATAATCATTACAGCTAACGTTTGATGTCTTAGTTCATATGTGGAATATTCCAAGATTAATCTAGGAATTATTCTAACCTACTTTATACAGATATAGGTTTGTTAACTTAAGTATTCAACTTATAAATAAAGTTATTAGAATTATTTTGGAGGTGAAAAATCCAAAATCATCAACATCACAGGGATGTATAACAGTGAAATTCTATAGAAATCTGTTTATTTTTTACTCTAGTTTATTAGTGAAATGAGGAAATAGCAACTGACATTCTAGTAACCCTACCAAAGCATTCACTTGGTTCCATATCCTTCACTTATATTCTGCAGACATGAGAGATTCATAGTAAATTGAGGAGGACCAATGCTTCTATAGGCTTAATCAGAGTATTTTGTAAGCAAAAGTAAATTTGCTTGGCAAATCTCTACCCATCTTGGGCATCAATTTCCCCTGGCTATTAAATTAGGGATAGTTCCAGAAAACCACTAAGGAAGCATCCAGGTTAAATAGCTTATGCGTTCAGGATTCTCTAAATTTATATGACTAGCCTCAACTAAAATAGCCACGTATGGGACCAGACAAGCCATCCACCAGACATTCTTTTCTAAACTTTTACATTTTGTCATAAAACAAACAAGCACCCCATAGGTAAAAGGATACCTACAGCAACAAACTTATTTCTGATGCCTGGAAATCTCTTCTATATTTCTACATGTAAATCTGTCCTATTATAACTCCCTAGTAATAGACAAATGATGGCATAACAACTTTCCATATGTAGCCCACTAATCAATAAATTAATGCAGTAATCTATTGAATTGAAAGTTTGTAGTCTTGTTACTCAATGGTAATAGCATCAAATAGATGGTGCAATTAATTTTCATGACAAACACCTTGGGATAAATGTGGTGATAAAATCCAAGAGAGACCACAGAGATGAGACTCAATTAGACAATTTTATTTAGATGAATCTATGACAGGTGGTAAGAGACTTGTGGCTAAAGTAAACCCTTTCTGGGGACATTAATATCAGCCTAAATAACTAATTCTCATACAGTTTCATATGTCAAAAGGAAATCCACTTTTATCCTCTACTAGGAATATGTCAGTCCAATGAATTTTCATCTTATTTGTGAAATGTATATTTTCCTATTTGCCTTAACAGTAATAATGATGAACTGCGTATAAAAAGTAGCTACATAAGTATATTACTTTGTAGAGAGAAATGTAATAATTTACCTTAAAATAGTTTTCAATTTATAATACAGATAGAATTTGATTTTAAATAAGGATGCCAAGTATTTTAAATTCCAGAAATCGTTACATTCTTTATTAAATTGAATTCTTAGATATTTCTATTTTCAGCCTTTAATATCACTATTTTGGTTACAGAAAATTAATAACAAGATGCCACATTTTAAAAAATGTAGATTGAAATATCCTATCATACTTCACAGCCCATCCTTCAATTCATTGAGAAATAGCTCTAAAGCCTTAAACAAGGCCTTTATTTTGTGTTTTAAAAAAGTGTCATAAGGAGTTAATAGGACACAGCTGTACTGGCTCTTTCTAATAAGCAGCTTCTGTCGCTTTGGTCACCACAGGTGTCTCTGTAACCTGCAAACTCTTATTACTAGTGTATCAAAGTTGTGCTACTTAACAGACTTCTTTAGTAAAACATAACAAAGCAATTACATGGCTGTTGATTGCCAGTCATAAAAAAAAAAAAAAAAAAAAAAAAAAAAAAAAAAAAAAACCTCAAACACTGTTTTTCAAAAGAAACTACACTGCAATTTTTTGTCATTGTAAAATAAAAGGAACTAAGGAATTAAATGGAGGATAGAACAAAATAACAGCAGGTAGCCCGCTGAACTTAGCAACTACAGATGGTTTAGAAATAGTGTTTCCTTCTCCATCAAGTTGTGGATAAAAGGAAAGGAGGAGATTCCTTACTGCCAGTGAATAGGAAAAGATTTAGCCAAGTCTCCAGTCTATGTATTTTGCCTCATGAAAGACCTTCGATGCTGCATTTTTATCTGTTTTTGGCACTGCTTTTCATCACCTTTAACTGAGTGTGCATAATAGCCTGATTTAATTTAAACAAATACAGGTGCTAAGGGTTCTTTATTTATGTATAACACGGGACATTTCCTAGGCAGAACATTTCCAAGTCATCCTATGAAATTTCATAACCATTTGCTTAAAGAAATGAAGTATTAGATGAAGGAATTGCTTCTACATTCTTTTGCTTCACATTTAAAGGAAGATCATTTTTCTTTTTAGAATTAGCTTACGTAAAACAAAGTCTGAAAGATGAGCAAAAATTCAGTATGCCACAAAATAATATGAAGACAAATTAGATTATTTAATTTCTAATTGTTCTATAATCACTTAAAATATGTAGCTACAATAGACTTGCCTTAAAATGAATTAATTTAATCTCCCTGTTCATAAACCAATAGCCTGTGATTATGATTGTGTTAACACACCCAAAGTAACATCACAGGATGTTGTGGCCACATGTGTAATTAAACACCATGAAATATATTTCAGATGGGAAATGCATGAAGAATTATTCATCACCTACAGTTATGATTAACAAACTAAGTAAATTTACCCTGGAAACTAGAAAAAGGATTTTTTTCCTATTGAGATTATGGATGTGTGCAAAAGAATATGTGCAATAAAGCGATTACATGTATTAGCATATGCTAGAGGTTAAGCTATTACCAATTCCACCTGACTGATCCAGAATGTCTTCTTCACTGGAATTATTAAAAAATAAACTTGCTACTAGGATTATGTTAGACTTGCCTTCCCTTTCTAAACATTATTTAAAAACAGATTCTTCTCTAAATGTTCAACAACATATTATAACATTAGAACATACAATAAACAGAAATGTACTATATCTCTTATTGCAAAAAAGATGAGAACAATGTGTTTTAGTTTTCTAGTTATTCTTGAGTTTAAGAAATCTTTAAAAGTTAAGAAATTCATAATTGTGATTAATTGCATATTTTAGCTAAAATAAGTGGCTTATAATTAAATATAATGTCAGAATTTAATGCTGAGGATGAAAATGTTTATGATGATAAAAACCAAATACAATGATGGCTTTACAAAAAAAGAATAGAAGCCCAACTATAAGTTGTGAACAATATTACCTTGCTCTATTGGCGTCCCTTGTCAGATCCCAAGCCCAGGTTATATAATTTTGACTCAGGTAAGAGACAACAGACTCAGCACATAGCATCTGTGAGCAGAACACGTTGGTTAATACACTTTCATCGTGGTGGAGGTAGATAGCAAGAAGCTTTCTCTGAAAAGACAAGAAAAAACTGATGAGTTAAAATATCAAATAATGTAAGATTTCATAAATTTTAGAAGATTCAATCAATATAAGCAGCAAAGACTTTATAGACTGCTGTCATAGACTCCTTTAACATGTGCAAGCCTATCTCAAGCAGAAATTGCAAAAGAATTGCATTTTCTTTAAATAAAATGGATTTACCATTCTTCATATTTAATAATTTATGTGTAAAGAAACATTTTATTTTGAACGCTTCAACTATACAAAGAAAAAAAACAACAGGGGGATGAGGGCATGATTGGGGGTAATGGAAGGGATAATGGGGGAATAAGGACACATATGTAACAACTTAATCAATAAAGAAATTTTAAAAAGAGTGAATGTCAAATTCTTTTTATATATTTTTAATGTTTTTAATCTACACACTGAGTAGTCTCTTCTACCTAAAAGGAAAATGACTAAAATGCAGTTTGCTTTAATTCTACAGGTAATTTTAAAGCGCTTAATGTGTCCCCATATTAAAGTTCTAATTCAAGAGCAGGTAACTTCTAATCGCCACTTGAAAGGATAGAAAAAATGTTCACTTCACATGAATTCTTTCTGGTTTATATTTCCAAAAATGCCCAATAATGTAGTTTCTCATATGGAAAATTATTCTTTTTCCTTTTATCTGTTAAAACTTGCTTTCAAGAAATGATATTTGGTCTCTTAAAAGTGTCCCATCATAGTTGGACATTCAGTAAGGTCATTGAAACTAAAAATTAAAATTGAGCAACATAATTTCCAACATAACAGCTTTAACAATATAACAAGGACAATTAAAGAGCCTAAATTGCCGTTAACTGACTTCTTGTAGAAAAGCTGACTTTAAAAAATAGTCAATTATTAGGAAATGAAAAGGTAAAATTTTATGGTAAAGACAATGTACAAACATCTAAAATTCTAGCAAAGGAAAATTTCAAGGAAGTTCAGGGTCTTTCCCTTCATATTAAATAAAGATGTGATGATGATAAAGAAAAACTTGTGTGAGATACTAAATCAAAGAACATTTATAGAAAAATACAAGGCTCATGTTGAAAGTTAATGAAGCCTGATCAACTTATCATCTGATGGAATTATCCCAATAAATAAACCAAATTATCATAAAAAAGAAACCATTAAAGTATCTTTTTCAAAGTTATACTTTATAATAGATGAAGGTAGATTAAAATTCCAAAAAGCATCTACTATGAAGAGGAGGCAGTTATATATTATTACCTATTTTATCCCAGAATAAACCTGCAAAATAGTGTTAAGTTCATTAGTATATGAGAAAATTTAAAAGCTGACTTGTCCTAAATTTCATAATCAGTTAAGTAAGCAGTATAAAACCCAGATTGACTGACTCCAAACCTACTGTTTTGTTTTTTTTTTCTTTGATAATAGCAGGGAAATTGCCAACATTTTAGGTAAGGCTTAAAGTGTTATACAATATAAGATGCCAGACTGGTCCCGGCTCAGACAGCCGTGGTTCTGGAGCCTCAGACAGCATGTGAGGAGAATAAGGGAAGGATTCCTAAGTAGCTCAGCTACTCCAACAATAGATGCTTCCATGTTTCATGTCATTTATTCATTCATTCAACAAGCATTTGTTGAAATACTTTGTGTTAGGCCCAGCAGGAAGCAGTGGTGATAAAACGGTGAATAAAAAAGATTCGGGGTTCATCTATGTTGAGTTTGCAGAAAACAGTAGAGGCTTCTAGGAAGATTGTAATCATATACATTGTTGAAGAGACACTTATCTGATAAATTCCTATTCATCTTTTAAGGCTCAAAGCAAACTCCCCTGTGAAACCTCCCAGTCCCCTTAGCAGAGTTATGAGCTTCTTCTTCAGGACCTCTATCTCCTCCCATTAGTATTCTAATTGTTTACCAGTATCCCCTCTAGACAAAGTCTCTCCAGGGTAAGGACTGGGTCCCTTGCAGTCTTCTTTGCATCCCTAAGCTGGCATAGATCTCAGCATGTTTGTTGAAAGAAATTTGAATGCTGATTTCAAACAGCCCCTCCAGGCAGAAAAAAAGACACCAAATGGCAGCAGCAATGCCTAATCGCTTTTAGTAAATGAATCTAAAAATCTGCTGCTTTGGGGAAAGGAACTGAACCTGGCAGCACTAACAAACTCGGAGTTCCTCTTAAAGCTCTCTAGCTGAATAGACAGAGGGATGTCAACCTCTAATTCTACTCAGTCGTATCTCAGCAACTATATTTAATGAGATAGTGGGAACAAGAGCCGTGCACTTTTAAATCAGCATATTTCTAATCAAACAATGGCAATACTTAAAATCATTAAAATGCCTATTTCTCAAGAACACTGCAATGGAATATTTAAACTTTGGGAAAGAGATTGGCGATTTACATTGCTATCTCACTGATTTAATTTAAATGCTCTTCCAAAACCAAACACACATGTGCCGAAGAGGCTACCAAGAAACCAACATGCATAGTTCCCTATAAGTGCAACCAACAGTGTTGACTGAAACTAAACTTGGAAATCCAGGGCACTAATGCACAATATCAAGCAATAAAACAGCATCTCTTTGGCAATATTTAATTTACAAAAGAAGAAAGAGGCAGGCGAAGATCAGGCACTGTCTGTTTTGGAGGATCAACCATTCTGCATTTCAAAGCACTGGTCCCTGCAATATCCAGGTTACTGTGCTAGAATCTCGACTATTATATCGCAGTTGTGAGAGGGAGGGCAAAGATGTGTTTACACAGTGATTAGGCCCTTAGAATAAGCCTCTAGCTCCTAGAGAGACAGCTCACCACTTATTCATTTGGGCCAATTCACAAAGCCTAGGAAGATTAAACATCCATGCTGAGAAGACAAGCGAATGCAGACGGTGAAAGAGAAATAAAAATTCTTTAAAAACTCTGAGATGACTTCATTATTTTTCCACAAGGAAACTTTAGGAAAGTGTTTAGTTAGAGAAAAACCCACATTGACCTCTCTCTAAACCCTTAATCTTTCCTTTGTGGTGGCATTGCTTTGTGGTAAGCTACTGGCTCGCCTCGCCCCTCTTTTCACGGGAAGCTGAGAGAAAAAAGGCTCTGGAGAAACAGTTTTCGTCCAGGGACACAAACCCTGGACACTGTTAAACATGAGATGCCAGTAAAACACACTTAAAAAAAACACACCTCGCTTTAAGCTCTCAACTGTGAGAAAAAGGAGACAATAAAAAGAGTATCCGAAGAGGATCTTCAGGCTAGGGGTACTCCCACTGTAGCTTTCAGAAAGGGAGATGGAATAATCTTAAAATAATCTCTTTTCTCTAATGTAAAAGCTTTCAAAAAAAACTTTTCTTCTGTTATGATAGTAATAAGAAAAATATAAAGACTCTTAGTAATATGCAAATGCTAGCAAATTTGGGCTACATAAATCTCATTAAATTATGGCACAACAACTAGTAAATAAACCCCAGAGTCAGATTTCTGATTTTTTTTTTTTCTTGAGCTCAATTAAACCACAGGCCAAAACAGTGAAAACTGAGCATATCAGAAAATTGCTTTTGTGAAGAAAGGGCATCTGGTACATAAGAAAAAGCATAAGAAAATGTTTTGTTTTCCATTACTATAACATTTTTTCTTTGGCCCATTAATAATTTAGTTCACTAACATTTGTGGAGTACCTACGTGTTAGGTATTGAAAATATAAAGATGAATAAAACAAAGTTCTCTTGCCCTCAAACAGTTGGAGAAAAACCCACATTGGGGAAGCAAAGATTTCAGCACAGTACCATATGATAAGTGATAAGACTGGGAAGTTAAAAAAAAAACAACCTATATTTTATTTGTACTTTCTAATTTGGCTGAGAGGGCGTAAGTCTGGTAGATGACAAAGCAAGCTGCCCAGCTACACTCTCCTCAGACTCCCTCTATGACTGAGGTTTAGGTAAGACAGTGTAAAGGAAAGTCTCCTAGTTTTAAAGTAACAAAATATTCTGTGCTAAACCCAGTTTTGCCACTTACCAGCTGTGTGAATTTGGGGTGTGGTAAGAATTATGGGTAAAGTAGGTATAATGCCTATTTAAAATGTTTGACCCCATAGTAGGTACTGAATAAAATATAGCTGTTAGGGTGAAGAATCTAGAACTATCAATGCAAAAAATAAAGGATTTGAATGCAATTTCAAGAGAAATGAAAGCCATAACAATGTATTAAAGATAACGCAGCTCCTTCATTTCTCCTCCTGGCAACAGTGTGTGGGATGCTTAACTGTGCTCTGCCATTAGGGTCTCACCAATCTTCACATTCAAATTGAGGAACTAAGGTCTAAGTTTCTGCTTAGAAAATGCCAAGCTGAGGACAACCAATGTGACTTGTCCTTGAGCTACAGTAGCTATTGTATTTAGGCACTTAGCATCACAGAACCAAAGGATAGTAGAGCTGGAAGAAACAAGATGGCTATATCCCAAAATAAGCCAGGCACAGAGCAGACACTCAAAATATTTGCTGCTGAACTGAAAAGGGTGTTGTCTATTTTCTTTTGAGTATCAGAACATTCATAACCTGAACGTTCAATGATTTAGAAGTTGAAATAAGAAATAATTTCTAGAAATAATAGGTCAGTTTTTTTTAAATGAAAATAAAATTATTTTCTTTTGTGTAAATTGGGACCTGACTTGCTGCTTCTCTTCCATTTCCCTTCTTTTCTATCATCATTATTACCAAAAGATTCAGAGTCATCATCACTATTATTTGCTTGTTTTAAGTTTGGGGATGATCTGTAGATACAAACAACTGATACATTGATACAACAATAAACACCTATTTATCCTTTCCCTAGATTAATTATTAGCATTCTGCTATATTTGCTCTATCATTCTTTTCATGCATATATCATGAATATCATGACACCGCAATCCTAAATTTTTTAAGTTCTGTTTCTTAAGAAACAAAGACATTCCTTTATATAACCAAGTACCTCAACTTGTCCTCTGTAGCTGTTTTATTGTTTTAAATCTAGGCT